TTGCCAGTTTCAAACATTTTGGTAATGAAGACATTGTTTATTATAGCAAGGAACAACTGATGAACAAGTAACTGATAAAGTTAGTTTTTGAGACAGGAGTTTGGTTTCTAGCTCCTCCAAGTTGTCTGGTTACATTTATGATGTAATTATAGCAATGCCTGCAAGTTGCCAATGGTTCACTCTATACAATAATTCTAGGAGAGAGAGAGAGAGAGAGAGAGAGAGACTTACTCATAGTGTGTGGGGGAAATTGATTGGAAAAAGACTCTGGTTTTAGTTGTGTCGACATTGTTGTCGACCCAATTAGCCCATGTTCTCAACCCTTTCTCCAATGCAACCAAACGATCAATGTCCTTGTAATATTTACCCCTGTTTCGATCAAATCCCACCTGTAACATATACGATAAAATTAACCCAAACATGGAAAATGCAGTAGAACCGGACAGTAAAAGAGAATGTTGTTCAAGGGGCTGAGTCACTAGTACGTATGTGCGTTGTAATAATAAATGATCTGTTTTTGCCTACCCTTGGAGGGATCCTTTATGACTCCACCAATGGCCTGTGTTGAACAACAGCACGTCTGCGTTTCCCCAGGCGTTTCCATGTGTATGTATGTCCTCTAGCTTGAGAATTCTGCTCCCTCCAACCATATCTATGTCAACTAAATATGGAGCTCTATAGAAGCATACCGATAGACCATAGTCCTGCATTTTTTACCATTAAAAACACTGGTCCAATTTGCATGCAAAATAATATGGTCACTTACAATGAACTTGAAGGTGGAGAGAGGATCTCCTCTGCTCATCCGAGTCTGCATTTTGGGAGCTGAAGCTGAGATCATACAGATCAAAGACTCCCATTGATTCCTTCCCAGAGAATCACCAACAAACATCAAGTGTTTCCCTCTCATCTTCGACAGAAACACGAGTCCGTTGAACCTCGGGAGCACACAATCGTGAGGCTGCCATCGGTATTTGAGGTAATCAGAATCGGGTCTCCCGTACATTTGGCAGTTGAATTCAGCATCAATGAGTGGACAGTCGGAATACTTGTACAACGGATAAGTATCATCACGGACCCAAGAGCCGGAGAACAATGCACAGGTGGTTTGGTTCGTTTGGAACATTGGCTTTCCATGGTGCTTCTTCAAGCTCCAACCTGTCGGGAACTGAAACAAGGCTAGTAAAACAAAGGGTAACAGACGTGAAAGAAGGGTCACTTTTCAGAGTCCTGTAAGAGAAAAGCCAAAAGAAGACAATGTACAAAAAGAAAGTGGGAGTTTTTTTTTTTTTTTATAAAAGAAGAAAAGGGTGTGCATGTGAAGGGGAAGGTGAAAAGGGTTGCGGTGAGCTTAACTTTGCGGTCAAAGTCAATATTGCTTGATTTAGACCCTTTTTAACCATATCTGGTCCTTCTTTGCTTCTTATCGTAGACCCTTTTCTGCAAGTTTATCTTGTTCCATTTCCACGGAGTCCCCTAATTTCTGTGTTTTCTATATGGTTTTTTTTTTGGGTTCTTTGATAATTCAATCGTGAAAAAAATTAACGGTCACATCATATGACGTGACAGTTAAAATTTAACCGAAAAAATGACGTCTCAATTAATTTTTTTTGATTTAACTACATAATTGGTGCTTGTTATTTACATAAGATGTCAATTTGATCACAATTTTAATTAAATTTAATAAATTTAATTCTTTAATTAAATTGTGACATGTGTCAGTATCTAATTGGAAGTTAAGTTTATTTATAATTTAATTTAAATTTATAACACTTTATATATCTTAATTTAAATTCATATCCGAAGTTTAAAATATATAATTCATTTTCTATCCAACTTATTAAATATATTTTTATTTTGATTTTAATTTTAAAAATATTTTTTATCTTAACTTAAAAAATATATACTTTTATTAACTTTAAAAATATATTTGTTATATCTTAACTTCAAATATCTATATATACCTTAACCTCAAATATATATTTTTATTCTTTATTAACTTAAAAAATAATTTATTATTAACTTAATTAATAAAAATAATATATATTTTAAAATTAAGATAAGAACAAAGTATATCTTAAAATTAAAATTATATATATATATATATATATATATATATATATATATATATAAGCTAAGGTAATTACAAAGTAATATCTGTTTTATACACTTTGTCACTTTCAACCATTTGACCTTTAGGAACAACAACGATTCCATTGAGCACTGAGGTAAGTTGGTTCGTGCCAAAATAAAATATATTTAATAAGTTAGATAGAAAATAAAATATATATTTTAAACTTAGGATATAAATTTTAAATTAAGATACATAAAATGTTATGAATTTAAATCAAGTTTTAAAAATATGTATACAATATATATAATATATGTTGTAAAACATAAAGCATTCAATATTCTAGCCTTCATGGTTGTTCACTTGTTTGGCACCAAATATGTAATTACATCAAAAAAAAATTAACTGAGAGATCATTCTCTCGGTTAAATTTTAACTGTCACGTCACCTCTATTGTTAAAAGTTAACGACCAGTGACTTGATTGAAGTATTTAGATAATTCGGTGGTCTGAATGATCAAATCGAAACATCGGTGGTCAAAATGACTTTTGACCATAGTTGAGTGGTCACCTTTGTAGTTTACTCTTTAGAAAATTCACATAAAAGAATTGGTAAAAGTAATATATGAATATCTATATTATAGCAAAAATTGCATTTTAGTTCCTGTATCAAAAAAGGAAATTTTTTCTATCAGTTAATTTTTTTAGAAACTATTACTATAATTTTTAACAAAAATTTTCATTTAATGTTTAAAGTTGTTATGTTTTTAAAATTTTATGTTTTTAGACCTTGATTAAATTGAAACAAATTTGAATGTTGTTTGATGATTTGTAAAATGAGAAGATACTATTATCAATACCATTTACCAAAGCATGTGTATGTGTTCTTTGTTTCAATTTTTTATCAAAGAAGGGCTAAATCATCGAGTCGTTCAAGGATGTTCATATTGTTTTATTTTGTGTGGGTTCAAATCTTAGCATTTACCTTGAAAAAATATAAATATCTCTACTTAATAAAAAAATAGGGTTAATCTCTTAGAAATGCTAAATATCATTTATTTTGCTTCATCCACATGCATACTTCATTCTTTTGGGGACTTTTTCAAATAACATGAATTGTTTTTGGATAATTTAGATTTTATTACCCAAAGTCAATATTAGATACAACCAATCAACCAATCAATCGTTACAAAAAACAAAATAACAGCCTATACAAAAAAGATTGGTTAAACTATACCCCAAGCATTACAAAGCTTTATATTAGTACTATCAAGTCTATTAATATTAGTACCCCTAAATTGGATCCCAACAAATTCTTTAACTTCTTTGAGCAAACATTCAACCGTTCTATGACGTCCTAGGAAGACTCTATGATTTCTTTCCTACCACAGAAAGTAAATAAATGCAGTCCAAGAAAGTTTCAATGTGGTGGTAAGGAGAGACCTCCCTTTCCATGAAGAAGTTGCCCTTGAAACTATTTCGTCCCATGTCATGAATGATGACTTCATCCCATTAAGGTTCTAAATAGAATTCCAAAGTGCTGCTGCCAGAGAACATTGTGAGAATAGGTGATCCCTTGTCTCTTGATTAATGCTGTAGTTGACACAGAGAACTTCTGTGCAAATTCCCATTTTAATGAGTCGATCTCTAGTAGGCAATCTGTTGAGAAAAATCATCCAAGCAATCAAACTAAACTTTGGAATATGCATTGGGAACCAAATTAGTTTGTGCTAAGTGACCTTCTTCCCTTTGAATCAGATCAAGTCCCATATATCCCTTAATTGCAAGGGTTCGGCTGAAACAATTGGTAATGCTTCAGTCCGCAATTTCAAAATTCTACTAATACTCCAACTAACGTTTGCACCAGCTTGGAATTATCAAAAGTCTTGCTCCTTAAAAACAGACTTTCATAGTGATTCCATGAATTTTAGTGACCATCAATGTAGTTTACACATTAAATTATTAATTTGTATGAGGTATAGAAATAGATTTTTTTCCCATTTAATAAAACGACTAAAAAGAATGGTATAAAACCCCTATCTGCCTCTTCGATTTTCACATTAATTTATTGGTGCAAAGCAAGTTGGAAAATCAAAATCAGTTGGGAGTGCAGCATGCGGTGAAGAAGAAACTTCTTAAGGTTTTTTTTATTAGTACGGTAATTACAAGATAATATTAGTTCGAAAGACTCTTAATTATTTAATAGTGACCGCTCAAACACCTCTGTAAATGATATGTTCAAACCCGAAATATAGAAATAACAGTCGACCCTTTAAAGTTCGCTTGGTTCGTACAGACATATAAGCTTATCGTATTGCAAGTTGGGGGGCGATTATCTACTAAACGAAGCTGTTAGGGAGGGTCCAGAGTAGACTGGGTTTCGTAAAGTGTCGACAACCATTAATGGCACCACCATAAATAGATGGAAAATATTGGTTGACTAGTGATCCCTCAACTTGCACAGCCATTAATATGGACACAGGATACTCAAAATGACCACAACATTATTCATCTTTAAAGGTAACCAGCTCTCTACATATTTCCCAGGAACCTTATGACACTTAGAGTATCCATGAATCCGAAACTCCATAGCCTGCTAAAATTGCCATGAACCCCTTTTCTTTTCTTTTTTACCCCTCCACTAAGCACTCTGTTGGTTTACCTGCAATTGGAAAACAGGGTCAGGAACAACAGTCATCAACATTGCAATTAAACCCCACAATCCAATGTATAAGAGGATATACAGAGAATTATGGCAAAGCATATGCACCAAATACATGGTTTTTTCTTCTTCCAAATACTAAAAGCAGTTTTACTGCAGAGCATTTCTACAAGGATTGTTATCTTGCAAATGTCATAAGTCGTAAGGACTTGAGTTTAGATTTAAAATTTTTAAGCAGATGATATTTACATAGTTACAATCTGGTTAGGATGCTAAGCAAGTAGTTATCTCGAGTTTTGCGTCCCAGGAAAAGTGAAGTTTTCCAATTTCAGTTTCTCTTCTAAATAGAGTGCAAAACTGGCTAGACGTACTGCAGAAGTGCTTGATCCATGATTTCGTTTTCCTTGATGTGTCTTAGTTCATAGGCTGAATCAGACCGATCATCATTGGCATTATTGCTATGAAGTTCAACCTGGGATCCTGAAAAAAATAGCGAAAACTAAAATGTGACTCTCTGCAGTAATTGATACTTGAACTAAGTGGCTAGGGAATTGGAAATACCAAATGTTATGCTTGATTCCGGTGAAGGGTTCTTGAGCAAAAGCTTCTGGCACATGGTAGCACCCTGGAAATCTAAAAACGTATAATCTAAAAACTCTAATCTCTCGGATGGTGTCATATCTGAAAATCCGAATGAACCGGTCCATGCGCGTAGCACATCGGGGACGGAAGGTAATATCAGCTTCTCTACTCCTAATTCCATGAGCATCTGAAGAAATCATGCAAGAAGCAATGGTTAGAAGTTTTCAGATTCATGTCTTCAGCATGGGAAGGATGGATGATATCTAATCCCATAAATTTGAACAATAGTGGATATTAAGCACTAGTAAAAGAAACCATCCAAACATGACATAGCTAACCTTCTCAAGTTTGTTTATCAAAATTCTGCACATTCCAAGTCGCCGGTATTGAAACCTGGTACCAATCAAAGGCATTTCGGCCACCTTTTCTCCATGAACCCTTGAATGGGAAAATAGAAATAAAAATTACCATTATTAACAAGGCAAATGTAAAAAAAAATCCTAACCAAGGCCTTCCTTCCTATACAACAAACTACTGTTACTCAGAGAAGCTTACCTAATATTGGCAACAGTAATGAGTTCATCGTGTCTTTCCAGAAGTATTGTGTAGAAGCCTCGGAAGTTCAAGCGGTTAAGTTCTGAGCTGTAAAATTCAGAAACCAAATGGATCAGACATTTAAGCCACTTGCTTGCATTAAACAAACAAAATTCGAATAAATCATAAGTAATTACAGTATAGAAGCAACAAAAACATTAAGAAGCTCAAGTATCAGCAGTAGGTTATTATGGCCTACTGGCATAGAAACTGAATTGCTACCAGATTAGCTGTAAGAAAGATTAAATGCAGTTATTTTAATAGAAATCTTTAAAATTAGCTAATTCAGACCATCAAACATTCAATCCAAGATAAGGGTTTGCGAGATTAAAAGAGATAAATCACACAGAGGAGATAATTCTCCTCCCCTTGGTGCCGACATAGACATCATACTGTTTGTTATTACGAGTCACTCCAGCCATAAATTTAAAACACTCAAGTTAAGCCACATAAAAATGTGACTTGCAAATGAATGCAAAGTTGAAGCAATGACTTACAGAAGAATAAGATACCTTCTACTGAATATATCGGCAACAAGATCTCTGCCAGTGTGAGAGTCTTTGACAGTGTCAAAACACTCATGCATCACTTCAAGCGAATTGCTAAGTTTGCAATAATTCTCAACCATGGTTTCATTATCTGAAGCATCAAGATCATGACTCTCTGGCTGCATGGGTTTAATTAATGTCCAAGTTAGATTGTCTGATCCAACAGGAATTGGTCTCCCTAAAAGCTCACTAAGGCCCAAAGATATCTGCAACAAAAAAGCAATTGTAAGAACTCAAAAAGTTACTGAAGACGCCAAATAACTTGTGCCCCAAGGAAGAAAGAAATAGCAGTAGCTATTACTCGTGGATGGACAACACAAATTACAAAAATAAAGCTGATTGGAAGTACCTCTTCACACTTTTTGCGGCAAAACCAATTTTCTTTTGCACATATTTCCAACCTATCTGCCCGTGCACTGCTTATGCAGCCAACATGATCTGCATCAAATACACACAAAAAACTATAAATAACCAATGGACTTTTAGTTTTCAACAAATACAGAAAATGAACCTACATTATGCAAACACTGAGCACAAGATAAAAGTCTGTTATCCACCATATTTGCACCATCTTTAAGTTTGTGTTGACCACAAATCCCACAGCAACATGAAGGACAGAACCAATTATCATCTGGAACAGTCTGACAGACAATTTCAAAACACGAAATCAAAGATATGTAAGATTTAAGAGAACGGAATAAAAGCATATTACAATGGGAATGAAGTGATAATAAAAACAAAAGTGATACCTTTAAACCAAGGCAGTTTTTATGGAATGAGGATGGACATTGATCACATAAAATCAGTTCACCCCCATATTGACAAACAGAACAAATGTCATCGTTCTTGTCCATTCGGCAATTGCGTGTCAACTGGGAATTCTTCTTTTTTCCAAACTTCACTCTACTGTTTTGTATTACTTGCATCTGGCAGTCCAACAGAGACCTTCCATCTTCCAAGAATATCTTGGCAGCTGGTCTGTGGTTGTCACCGCCACCATGTGCTACAAAACCACCAAGACTGTATACCTTGCCACAACATTTGCACATAATTCCATTACGAGTTATCCTCCCTTCTGCTTTCAACCTCTGTCCCTTCCTCCAGTAATGTACTTTTGACTTTGGCAAAATAATATTTTTATCTATTAACCAATACATCGCAGTTCGTGGACTTTGACGCAGTGAACTAGGAGTTACAATCTGCTGCACTCTTTTGGTTGATCGTAGAACATGGTTATGTTGACTACCTTTAAGATTCTCTCTTAGTTTGACCAATGTCGCAGGTGACTTTTCACCTTTCAATCTTGAGATGTTAGTGTATTTAACGGGTAAGTCAGCTCGGCCTTTTTTTAAGTCAAACGCAAGATATGATGAACTATCCCTTCTCTTCCTTTTAGGCTTTTGATTTCTCTGATTGACTCTACTTTGCTCAACACCATTTCTTCTCTCACATCTTGAATAACACTTCTTGGACCAGTTTCCAGATTCGGTATTTGATGGCATCGAGCTTCTCTGTATATCCACAATTGCAAGTGCAGAAGAAAGCTTTTCACTTGCTGACTGACATTCAATCTCCTCAACAGCATTAATCTTTTCCACTGTTCTAGGAGTAGCATCAGTTTGAGAAACTCCACCTTTTATACAGTTTTTGCAGGCTTCCCGAAGTGACTGGTACATCCTTCCTCTTGGTGAAGTGTAGTACAAATAGCGCCTTCCATTACTGGAAGCATAGTGAAACGCCCAACCCAGCCATGAGAGATGCTTTTTTGCCTTTAGTGTCATATAACTTCTCTTGCATCTGCGAATCATATCCAATTCAGCCATAGACCAGTCCAAAACAGCTTCAGGGAAATATTCTTGTTCAACAAAAAGTCCCCTGATGTTTGGTTCAACAACACCTAGATGGTTGACGTTTGGTTCAACATGTACATCTTTGATGTTTAAACAAATATGCTTTCTTGAGTGATTGGTTAGATCTAAACAGATCTGATAAAGAGAGTAATAAAGGTGCCCAGTAGGTGAGACGTATCGCCTTCTGATAAGTTTTCCATCTTGCTTAGACTCCATTTTCCATCCCTGATATAGAAGATGCTTCCTAACATCAGTTAACAGAAAATTATCGGGTTTCTTACCAGCATAAATGTATTTGGCAATGGCATCAGGACATGACCCGGCTTTCGAAACAAGCTCAGTGTCTGCAGGCATCCATGTTGCAGTTACACTGAGCCCTGAATGTTTATCCCTCCTTTCAGCCATATCTGTATCAGTTCCAAAAAATTCTTCATTGCTAGTTACAGAACAGATGCAGGAAATTCCATCTGCAACAGAGGGTGAGGCCATCAAAGCCTCAGGTAAACTACAGGCAGTGTTATCAACACAGGGTTTGTTAGCTTCAGCCAAAACAATGTTATCATCCTTGAAAACGTGCATCGACTAACCAGAACTAGGTTTCTCTTGACTCGGTGGAATTATAGCTGTGTCTGGACTCAACAAAGTAATGTTCACTTGATTCTTAACGGGTACAAGAGCGAAAGTGTCACCTAAATTTGCATCAGTACCCATACAAACATCTGCATCTGGTATAGCAAGCTCCTCTTGCAATTTGGATTCTGGTTGGGAGGAACCAGGAAGGCCTAATACCTTGACCAAATGATCCACAGTGATTTTATGGTTATCTTTTATTATTTCCAGCACCAATTCTTTCCACAAAGACTCACAAGAAAATGTCCACTCTCTAACGTTGTGAAAATCCTCTTTCTCCCGTAAATCATACCAAAATTGTTGCACAGAAACAGAAAGAAACCACTCTTGCCCATACTGTGCAATCAACTCAAGAAACAACCAGGTTCCACGTTGCTGCCACTCCTCTTTGAAGTTGTTCCAATCTTGAGTAATCCGTAACTTATTGATTTCAGCAGTCATTTCATCACCCAAATCAGGGAAGAAAACTCTCCTCTTCTCTGAATCATATTCATGGTCCAAAATCACACCTTCCCACCAAGCATCGTTATACCATACATCGATGCAGAGCCCGTAGGAAAGGTTCCATTTGCAGAACTCTAGTTTAGGTGGCAATTTCCTTGTAGTCTCCCGGGAGTTATGGTGAGTCTCACACGGACAAGAAAATCCATTCATTACAAGAGAAACACCCACGATGTCGACAAGCCTATCAGAACCATCATCAAGAAGAAGATGATCATGCTTTACGTGACACCCTTGCTTATCCCACGAAATAACAGTTCCTTGATGCCATGAACCCTGAAACCCTTCTTCAACTCTCCTCACCTATAAAATTCATATTCATATTCAAAATTTAAATGATCAAAACAATATTCATATTCAAGATTTAAATGATCAAAACAAGGACTCGAGAATTCTGAAATCTGAAACGATATACTAATGAACATTGCATTGCAACCAAACAATATTCATATTCTGAAACAATTAGATATTCATATTCAAGATTTAAATGATCAAAACAAGGACTCGAGAATTCTGAAATCTGAAACGATATACTAATGAACATTGCATTGCAACCAAACAGACACTAAGCCACGCTTATGCGCTCATTATCAACGAGATTAACAATTAAACAGCGGACTGCAGCTCTAATAACACTGATTAAAAGAATCCGAAACTTTCATCAATAGAGAAAACCAAATACAACCCAATTCTACCATACTAATTTTTTTTTTTTAAAAAAAAAGCACCCACAATAAGAAAACTCTAAGAGGCCCAAGAAAATTACAACCCAGAATCTGAAAAAAAGAAAGATAATGGGAATAGCCACTTTACCTCAACTTTTTCGTTAACATCAAATTTCTTTCTTTCAAAAATTCTCATACGTTTCCTTTTCCTCCAAACGGAGCCTCTGTCTTCTAAAACACCGATCGCTGCCATCGGAGACCCCAAAAGTGTGAAAAATGATACCCTTGCAACTGAAGTACGTTATTGAGTAGTAACTGAAAAAAGGGGAAGAAAAATAACAGCTTATTTATAATATCCAGATAGGGAACAATAAATTTTATCCCTTTTTACCCTTTATGCTTTAACGAGTTTTCTACTCTTCTCTCACTAGTTTTTATTTTCTAAATTTGCATGTAATATCAGCTGTTCATCAATTAGGAGCCGTCAAGGAACGGTCGAGATCCATTAATCTTATTCATGACAATACTTAATCAAATTCAAAAAATATATATTTATAATATATTGCTTGATGATCAAGAAATCTTATTCATTAAAATTTATTATTTGTCAATTAATATCATTACATTAAACAAATTTAATAACAAAGTAATCTCTATCATATTACATACAAATTTTGTTTTTTTTATTTTGTTAATATAAATTATTTACGTAGATTAAATATATAACTGATTTAGATTAAAAAAATTCAATCGATTAATTCGACCGAATACTTTTATCACATTTCATGTCACACAAAATAAGATGAGAATTTTTTTGGATAACATCCTCTAAAGACCAAGTTAAAAAATCTAACCCTAGAAAACATCATCCGGAGGAGCTAAAAAATAAATAAGATGGGAAATTGTGCGAGTACAAAAAGCTTATTCCCGATGAAGAATAATTGCAGCAATCCTTGTGGGGTTTTCAATTAAAAATTGAAATAAAAGATAAATGTTTTATACATTACCACACACTTATGGTGTGTGTGTTTATGATTTCAAATTTTGAAAATGTCAAATTACTTCTATAAAAAAGTGTAAAAGCTTGAATTTAACATGTAAATGAGTAGTAATTCGTTGTTAGATTTTAAATAAAAAACGTTATATGGATTTTTCGGAAACTATTGTTGCGGAATACGGTTATCGGATAGAGCAAAAGCGAAACTGATAATTTGAGAAAATAAAAATGAAGATAAAAGAGACACAAATTTTACGAGAAAAACCTTAAATTATATAGGGTAAAAACCACGGGCAACGGTAGAAGAATTTTACTATGAGAAAATAAGAATTACAACTTCTCTCGATCACCAAGGAGAAAACAATGACAATTCTCTCTTGATAAAAATGAGAAAACAACTCTTAAGAAAACTCTCTAAATTCTATGGTATAAGTAAAAAACTAGAATTATTTATAATGGTTTTGAAGCTTAAAGATTAATCTTATAAATACCATAAAGTTTAGTGACTATAATTTGTAATTTGTCCATATAAAAAATCAACAAAATCAACTAATTTAGGTGTGCACCGAAAGCCATCGAAATTTGCAGCCTTATTTGACAAATTTTGCTGCCATCATATTTGACTTTCAACAACTATTTGTATTTTTTATACAATATTTTATATATAAAAAAACAGTGTCACATTACAAATAAAGAAATCGTTGTTGTTCCTAGATGTTACGGGTTCGAGCACCAGTGACTATAACAGGTTGGTTGAACGTTCATTGTCAAATGGTTGAAAGTATTTATAATAGATACTACTTTATAATCATCTTAGCTTAATCAAAATAAATAAATAAATAAATAAACAAACTCAATCCTCTTTAGCATTGCAATGTTTTTTTTAATAAACGAAACGCTACCGAAAGCAAGACTTTCCTTCAGCATTGCAATGTTTTTTTGGGTATGTGACCCTGAATACTACACCAACATGTCCCAAAGTATTGAGGCACCTTGCACATGAATAGCATTTTATAAAATTTTGAAAAATAAAAATGAACACAAATGAACGAACGTAAACGAACACAAACGGACGATCATAAATGAACGTAAACTAATGATCATAAAATTAATTGGGTTTATAGTTGAGAAGATTTCTTTCTAAATAATTTTAGGATTTATATATTCTTTAATTGATTTGAGTATTTGTGTTTTAAAATATTAATGGGTTAAAAGTTCAAATTTATTAGGTCTTAGTATTTCAAACGGGTCTGGAGATTGGGTTGAAAGAACATAAACGAACGAAAATAAATGAACAAACATAAATGAACAAACATAAATGGATATAAATGAACGAACATAAATGAACGGATTACACAACGTTCACAAACGTAAATGAACGAATGAGCTCTTTGTTCATGTCCGTTCATTTAATTAAACAAACATAAAATCTTGTTAATGCTCGTTCGTTTAATAAATAAATAAACATAAACAAACTTCCTACTGAACGGTTCAATGAACTGTTGGTTCGTTTACAAGCCTAGTAGATGATAATGGAGACTAACGAACATAAACTTCCCCCAAAATTTGAAAAATTATAATTTAGACCATTAAAATTTTAAAATATTAATTTAGTCCCTATATATTTTTTATAAATTCATACTAATTTTATTTTTTTAATATTTTTAATCCTCTCCCATCATTTTTAAAAATTCTCATTAAGCCTCTCAAAATATCAAAGATTTTAGTTATACCCCGATTTTTAAAAAAAATGTAAATCGAACCCTTCAAAATTTTGGAAAATTTTAATTTGAACCTCTAACTTTTTTAAAATTTAAGTTGACCCCACAAACTCTATCATCAAATTCCGTCATTGTATAGAGCTACGTCATGTCACCAATATGAACGATGAGAGTGTTTGGAATTGGGTTAACCAGGAGCCATTTATTGTCCTTTAAAGTTTCTAGTCACCAAACATGGTCTTGGTTCACTACCGAAGGAACCGAGCTATCGTGTGTGGGATCATGCCCCAAGCGTCACCGCCCACGGAGCGGCACGACGGATATCGATAAACTCGAATGAATCCACTCGATTCTTCGAGCATAGACTCGGATAGTTCGGGGTCCAGATCGAGATTCTTGGCCATTGATTGAAACAAGGTTGCAATTCTTTAAAAGGTGTCTTCCATATCCTTCCAACAAAACCCAAATGGAAACACGGTTGAAGACAAATAACTTGTTAGGCAAGTAAGCAAAAAAATCTAAAAGTGATAGATAAAGGCCTTGACTCATGTTGGTCTCCAAACTTTCCAATGTTATTATGCTCCAGAAACGAAAAATAAAATAAATCTATCAATAAAAAAATCACAATTTGATATTTTATTCTTGATTTTGTCATCGGATAATAATCGCTTTAAATATGACTTCCTATACTAAATCCCAAAATTTGAGCTAATCTGTGTTAAAAAATGAAATTAAGCACTTAATTTAGGCATTAATATGAAATTTGTGTGAAAATTTTGACGGCGACAATGGTGAATCCGTTGCTTCTTTACAATAGCATTTGGCAATCGTTTTTTTTTTGGGGATAGATTTGTTAATAGGATTTGGCATTCTGATGACGGAGGATCATAACTCTGTTAATAAGTTGGGATTAGATCTACATTCACATAATTATTTATTTGATTACTTTATTTTTGTGGTTGAGTTCCTGTTGGATTTTACAAAAACTTAGCCCATTGGATTTATCGTCTTAAACCCGTTTTATGGAATTATGATTAATCCGATAAAAGGTCGGAGACGTTAAGTTTCCCGCGTAATAAACATTTACCCGCTTCTCATTTTCCATCTTCTTCCTTAAATAGTGTTTTTCTTTTGTGTATAGCTGCAATATTTCCTCACTTGTCAATCGAATCGGAGCTCCTTTTTTTAATTTTTGTTCCTATTTGTCTAAATCGGTGATAATGTTTAATAATGCCTGCAATTGATCGCAATTCGTCTCCATTCAAGAGGGTGTCGGCCGCCAAGAGCTGCGAGGTGGCTGTATCCAACGGTTCCTGTACTCCTCAGAAACGAAGGTTAAGGTCCAGCACGACTGCGTTCAATGAGAGTCCGTTTTCAACATCGATGAAACTCATATTGCCTCGCTGTCACTTAATTTCAAGTCCAAGCAGCCCTGCAAATGTGAGCTGTTAATTGTTTACTTCTTTTTTTAAATGTACGGTAGTTTTTTTTTGAATCAATTGATTATTTAATTTGTTATAATGCACGGGGTATGCAAAATGAATTAATATATTTATTTGAATTTTTTGACAAACTAAAATAAGAACTAGTTATTTATGGCTTAGTTCCTTTTGAGTGTTTGATTAAATTCATGTTCTACAAAGGCACTGCATAAGGTTTAAAAGATTGCTAATGTTCTTTAGCTTTATATATTAACAGCAAATTAAGGAAGATCTGGGCGGAAAACCAGTGAAGAAATGCTGGAATCAGAGAGGTAATTTTGTAGCTACTTTTTCCCCCAATGTTCTTTTTAAGTTTGAGCAATCAATGAATAATATTCAATTAGTTCTTGTTTACTTTATTTAAAGATGTTGAACAAATAAGGGTTGTGAAGGAGTCTCTACATGTTTCAACAGCTCCATCAACTGTTGTGTGCCGAGAAGATGAGCAGGAAAAAGTGTTGGATTTTTGCAAGACATGTGTCAAACAAGAGAAAGCTGAGAGCTTGTATGTATGTGGATGTCCGGGGACTGGGAAGTCGTTATCGATGGAGAAAGTAAAACAAGAAGTTAATGATTAGGCAACAATGGTAAGCTCATTGTATATAGCCCCTTCTACCTTGAAATATTATTGAAGCGAATTATCATTTTCAATTATTCCTTTTTGTAACAGGAAGGTTTGCAGCCACTTGAAATATTAGCATTGAGTTGCACTTCTTTAGCAAATACATCTGTGATTTTTAGTAAGGTATTGTTTCAAGACCTTAACAATATTTAAAGCTTTGTATGTTGTAAGTTCTTGCCTGATAATTGTCTTGACAGATTCTTGGGATGCACCAATCAAAGAAGAAAATTACGGGCTCAACATTACCTTTACAACATCTACAAAACCTTTATTCTAACAAGCAGGCGCCATCGGGCTCAAAGATGATGTGAGAAAAGTACTCTCTGGAATGAATCATCTTTATTCCCTCCTCCTTTGGGATAAATAAAACCATGATTTTTTGCAGGTTAATTATTGCTGATGAGTTGGATTATTTGATTACAAGGGACAGGGCAGTACTTCATGATTTTTTCATGCTTACAACTTTTCCGTTCTCAAGATGTATACTGATAGGTATCATTCACTATGCTTATTTCCGTGTTGCTTGTTTTGATTCATTCCGACATTCACTCATGATTTTTTTTTTTATTTCCTGCAGGAATAGCAAATTCCATTGATCTAGCTGATAGGTTTCTTCCAAGACTCCAGTCATTGAACTGTGAGTTCTTTACTATAATTACATTGGTTAACACTGATATTAAGCTTGATTATATAAGAGAATTTTTCTTTTCTTGGAGTTATCCTTGCATCTGAAGTAGCTATAACTTTAGCTTGTCCTGATAATAGCTCAACTATAAATAGTGAATTGTCATCTGGCATCTTCCTAGTTTGCCCACCTAAGCACCAAAGTTAAGAATGAAAGCATCTAGAGTATAGTCTTATATTTACTGGTTTGAGGTTATGGATTTACTCCTTAGTAATTTCTAGTCTAATATTCTCTAAAATTTTGCTGTTATTTTATCACATTGCTGATATTAACTTCAACGAATGCTTTGTAGTCCCTTTTTGTAGAAATAGCTACTTGCAATTATGCAATATGGATGCTTTGCTATTCTGGAAGTAATTTTTTTTGATAATTCGAAGTAATTCAAACGTATTAAACTACCACTTCTCTATGATAGGCAAGCCTATGGTTGTAACCTACCGTGCTTACTCTAAAGATCAAATCCTTTCAATACTTCAGGAGAGGCTCTTGGTAATTACTAGTTCCACTTTCACTTTTGTTTTCAATTACTTGGAATTTGGTTTGTGACGCTAACTCAATGTTATCGAGTTTTAATGGCTTCTACTAACAGGCACTTCCATACATTGTCTTCCACCAGCAGGCATTAGAACTTCGTGCCAGAGTGAGTTATACTGCTTCTTTTGAAAACCTGTTCACACCTTCAATCAATCTATTTTCAATAGATACTAATTGCTTGAAATTAACAGAAAGTTGCAGCTGCATCTGGAGATATGCGGAAAGCTCTTTCTGTTTGTAGGTTAGTGTTTTATCGAAACTTAATAATAATCTGAAGTATTACATAGAGTTCAGTTTTAACCAATTAGGCCAAGGGATATTAAATTGACTGCTGATGCAGGAATTTAATGTCTTGTGAGCTCGATATTTGATTATATACTTGAAATAATTTGCTGTCAAGGCATTTATTTTTCTTCTTTTTCTGTTAAGCACAGAAAAGCGTGATTGGTCTCTTGGAGAATCAATGTTTCACATATGTATATTTTACTTATGCATATCACCTTCCTTGGTTTGAATAGAGTAGGTGTTTTAAACTACTAGCTAATGTTCTTAAGTTGTTCCAGGAGCGTGGTTGAAATTCTTGAAGCAGAATTAAGGGAAGCTGCAAGTAATTTGATTTTGACATCGGTGGAGGGTGATTTCGTCGGTCCACAGGCTCTACCTGCTCTTGAAATCTACCCATCACAAGAAAATAGTACTGTAAGTGTCCAACAGCTTAATATTACTGTTTCCATGCATGAGCTTGTTATATCGATCTTACACATCATACTTACCCTGCCACTGCTCCTACTGCTGCTTACACGAGGTGATATGTTTCAGGTGAGGATTGATCATATGGCACTTGCATTGGCAAAGACATTCAGATCACGTATAGTTGACACCATACAGTCTCTTCCGCAGCATCAACAAGTAAGCTTGGAGCCTATAAGGAATACAGCCGTCCAATAGTTCATCTTATAGTCATGTTTCTGCTGCTTCAACTTACCTAATGTTGTTGAGTAACTGCAGATTATACTTTGCTCTGCCGTGAAGTATTTCCGTGGTGGGAAGAAGGATACAACTATTGGGGAGGTTTGTTTTTCTTAATGTTGGACAATGATGTGCTGAATCACCTAGTAGTTGCTTAATTGACATAGTTTGTATTATTTTCTGCAGCTAAATAAATCATATATTGGCATCTGTAAATCAGCACTGATCCCACCAGTAGGAATTCCGGAATTTTCAAGTATGTGCAGAGTGCCAAATGACCAGGTAACAGAAGTATACCTATTCTTGGGTTTGAACTTAAACTCATAAGCTAGCTTTAAATGACTGCATTAGCTGTTTTCACAAGAGGCATAAACTATCTAGCTAGACCAGATATTGAAAGGGGGGTTGACATGGTTCATTATACGGGGGCTCTTCAAACTGGGTCAGTCTCGTGATGATAAGTCCAAAAGAGTAACGCTAAAAGTAGATGAAGCTGACATCTCCTTTGCTTTGCAGGTAGATTCATTTACTTGAGAACAGCCACAGACAAGATTCTATCTTGTCGAGTAATTGACCTGTTTCTTAACATTAACCATTTATCTTGAACAGGGAGTTCGTTTATTTAGGAATTGTCTTCAGTAATTTTGCACAAATGTATCATACGACTTGTGATATACTGATATGGTAGCTGTCTTCAGTCTTCGGCACGCCTGCTCAATTCATGACTTAAGGTTTATTTTAAGCACACAAGCAAGGGGAATGACAAGTTACTATTGGCCATTTGGCCACTGATTCAAGCACAACTTTGGCTATTTGATACAAATTGTAAATCATATATAATGTGTATTTTTTTCTTCTTTTTAAATTGATGGGATTCATGTGTAGTATTGGTTCTTTTATTTGTTTAGTTTAGGTAAAAGGGTAACTTTTCCTACTATACTAGACCCAATTTATCACTTTCGTCCTTATCGTATTTTCGCATCAATTTAATCCTCGAATTTGCTCAATTGCATCATTCTAAATCCTACTCCTAACTTAAAACCCTAAATTACAAACACGAAACCATAAACTCATTATCTCTAAACCTCAAACATTAACTTAAAGATTATAATCTAGGTTTTTAAGTTAGGGGTATGCCACAAAATGATGTAATTAAATAATTTTGAGGATTAAATTGATTCGAAAATACAATAGGGATAAAAATGATAAATTTAATATATTGTAAGGGCAAAAGTGATCCTAACTCTTTATTTTATATATAAAAAATATTGAATATCAACTTTTAGAAAGTTTTTCTCTAATGTCTGTTGGATGCAACTGATTTGCTTTGTGAGAACATGGGAAGTGATGATTACGTGGCATGACAGTTTTGTAAACCGTTGTAAGGCAACCGCCAACCAGAAGCATCCCCATGATCTAAATAGTGCTATATAATGGGTATGAACGAGTACAATTAACTATAGAAAATTAGAGAGGTAAAATCAAAATAAACTGAAATTTAGAGCCCTAATTTCATATTTTCTCATATATTTTTTTAATAAAAAATGGTTTTTTTTGGAGGGAGTGGGCCATTGGTGGCTCTGTCCTTGGTAAGGTTTTTTTTTTTTGACGGGGAGCCGTCATAAAACAAGTGAAAAGGTTCTTAAACATATAAAATGCGAGTACAAAACAATTTTATTGTATTTTAGTTGGTAAAATATTCTTTGGTCCCTTGATCTATACCATTTTCTTTAATCCCAAAAACTGTACATATTCCTTTACCTTTTCAAACACATTCAATCTTGACCATCGATTATGAATGTGCCAAAAGTAACTGAAAAGAAAGAATCGACGTAAATGGTAGATGATATTAAATATAGAGCACGTACCAAATGGACTCGAATGCTAATGCTAAAACTTACTATAATATTCAAAAGGCACAACAGAGGAGCATTGGATGCAAAATCCATTATTTACCTCTAAGCTCAGATAATACTAGTAGTATCTCCCCTCCAATTCCAAACTCATTCACCATTTCTTAGTCAAAAAGACCAGTAACAAGATCCTCATCGGATTCCTCGGACTCCTCCTTTGCCTCTTCTACCTTCTCTTCCTTGGCTGCACCCGAATCTGCCGGAGCAGCTGCACCCCCTCCAACAAACTTGCTCGGATCCTTGAGGTATTCTTTGACTTTCTCAGCCTGAGGGAAGGTATACTCAGTAGCCACTGCAAGAGCCAGAGCATTCTTGTAGGCATGAATAAACATATGAGGCGCGACAGCAAGAGTCGGGAACGTAACTGCCAGCGAAAGGAAAGCGACATTGGAGAGCCAACCCGTAAACTTCTCCATAAGATCATCTTCAGTTAGGTCCAACACCTCAGGGCTGATCACCGTCCCATTGTTGTATACAGATACCACAGACAGTCCATAAGAGAATGGCTTTACCCCGAGCTTCGAAGGCAGGGCTACCTCGTGTTGAAATTCTAGAAGGCCGGTTGATTTTCAAACTAAGGGGCTGGTTGATTTTCAAATTAAGGGACTGCTTTGAATTCAAAATAAGGTTGTTGTTTTAATTGAAATTGACAAGGGATAATTACAAAATTTAGCCATTGTATTTTAGGGTAATTATAGAATTAGTCTCTAAGCTTCAACTATAAATACCCTAGCTCATTTAGCTTCAAAATCATCCCAAAATCCCAAATCATTTCTTTATCCCAATACTAGAGAGTTTTCTAGTGAGTAGTGAGTGTTTTGTAAACACCTGTAAATTTTATCTCTTAGTAAAAGATTTGCAGCAGTCCGGAGACGTAAGCAAAATTGGCTGAACTCCGTTATCAATTTCGAGTATTATTTTTTCGCTTTTATTTCGCATTCTCACTAATCTGGTTATAGGGAAATTACTCGTACTCGGTTTATTTCCCATCAATTGGTAATCAAAGCTTTTGGTTGTGAATTTTGTCAATATTTACGAAGGTGTTCTAATACACGGTGGTTTGCAAGAATTTTCAGAAACGATCCAAAGAAGCCAGATTCGAGTGGGAGCGATGACTTTGAAAAATGAAGTTGATGAGCTCAAGAGGGAGCTGCTCAGATGAAAGGGAACAATGAGTGAATGGGATGCGCTCAAGACCTTCTTGGAAGGACTTAGACCAGGGGAGATGCTCGGGGAAGAGAAAGGAAATGCCTAGAGACTTTCGGAGGCCATAGCTGTAGCCGGAAAGCTGACTGAGCTTGCAGGTGACAAGCCAAGTAGCGATGTGTCGTCTATGCCCATGCCAAGAGATAGTGGCAACAGTGGTGGAGACAGGGAAAAGGTGCAGCAGGGAAATAGTAGAGAAAGCTCTTCGAATGGCCAATGTGAGCCATCGACTGTTTGTAGCCAAAGAAAGCCATCGGGAAATAATGGCAAGGCTAAGTCAGGTGTAAAGAAGAAGGAGAGCAAGGAAAAATTGAAATGCTACTTCTGTGATGGTCCTCATTTGATTAGAGGATGTACCAAGAAGCGTCACCTTACAGCCATCATGAAGAGGATGGAAGAAGGAGAAGTAGCGGGAATTGGCGCAGTTGCAAATGTTAAAGCTACCAAGCCAGGAAAAAGACTTGGCCCGATTAATGGGATCAATGCGGCCAAGCAAGGATCGAGACTAGGCAAGGCTGTTGATGTTGAAACAGCCGAACTCGGAAGAAAACGTGACGAGACTGTGGGTGTCAAAGCAGTCGAACACAAGAAGGGACCCGGTGCGATAGCAAGAGATAAAACTTTCAAGCCGAGGGTGCAATGTGAGCAAGTCCGCTCACAGTATGCCAGGAAGGAAGCGTGGTCCAAGTTGAGGTGTCTCAGGCATAAAGAGACACTTAAGGAGTATGTGAGTCGATTCAGAAAACTCATGCTTAAAGTCCCAAGTTTGACTGAAGAAGATGTAAGTTTGACTGAAGAAGATGGATTCTTCACTTTCATGTTCGGATTGAATCCATGGGCAAAGAAAGTGTTGGAGCGAAGGGAAGTCCAGGGGCTGTTTGAAGCCTTGACAACCGTAGAGTCCATCAAAGAATTTGGAGTCAAGAAGAACAAGACTTCCAAAGCAAAGCCAAAATCCGAGGGTAGCGACAAGAGATTCCGCGATGAAGGTCAGTCAGAGGATGAGGAAGGTTGTTCCTCGAGTGGCAAAGAAAGTCCACTCAAAGATGAACCAAATGGTGGATCTGGTGAAAATGTGTGCAGTCTTGGCACAAGTTTGAGTGTCAAAGATGTTAAACCGAGGGTAAAAGTCGAGCAAACGAGGGGGCACAGACTTAAGATGCCAGAAGTGTTGCAAAATTACCCGAGGGGAGCCGAGTCATCCAAGATGATGAATGATCCCAGGATCGAGTTCTCCAGAGAAGAGGATGAACCCAAGATCAATGGGGCGTTGAGAGTTGGCTCAATAAGGCTCATTTCTGCCAAGACGAGTAGAAGCCAAGTGCAGGAGGAGTTGTCCATGTCCAAGGAATTTGCCGAGCATGTTCGTGTAGAGAACATGGCTTCAGAGACCATCTTAAGAGAAGGGTCGAAGCAAGGGCTTGCCGAGGATGTTCAAGTGAGGAACAATCCTTCAAAGACTAGTGGACAAGATTCGAAGGGAGCTAAGACGTTGAGAGACAAGGCAACCACAGAGGAACTGCCCAATAACAAGTGGGTTTACAGGGCGGAGACTATGGACAAACTGAAGTTGTGTTCAGCTTCAGTTTGCATGCTAGAGTAACAAGACCAAAAATACTGTTGCATTGATCAAGGTGTGAAGACATATTAAAATCAATCTTCAAGTGGGAGATTATTGAAATTCTAGAAGGCCGGTTGATTTTCAAACTAAGGGGATGGTTGATTTTCAAATTAAGGGGCTGCTTTGAATTCAAAATAGGGTTGATGTTTTAGTTGAAATTGGCAAGGGATAATTACAAAATTCTGCAATTGTATTTTAGGGTAATTATAGAATTAGTCCCTAAGCTTCAACTATAAATACACTAGCTCATTTAGCTTCAAAATCATCCCAAAATCCCAAATCATTTCTTTCTCCCAATACTAGAGAGTTTTCTAGTGAGTAGTGAGTGTTTTGTAAACACCTGTAAATTTTATCTCTTAGTAAAAGATCTGCAGCAGTCCGGAGACGTAAGCAAAATTGGTTGAACTGCGTTATCAATTTCGGGTATTATTTTTCCGCTTTTATTTCGCATTCTCACTAATCTGGTTATAGGGAAATTACTCGTACTCGGTTTATTTCCCAACACCTCGGATGAACCAACCTTCTCAACCTTCTTAACCAGCTCCACTGCCTTCACGATTTCGACCGTACCCTTGTTGATCTTGGTCGGAATGTTGAGCACCTGATGAGAGGATGTCACATATATGTGAGATTATAGCATACATGAGAACTTGTGAAAAACAAAACATAAATCAAGTGCTTATATATATATATATATATATATATATATATATATATATATATACGAAAGAATGATGTTTGAGAAGGATCAAGACCAGTGTTGCCAGGGGGAACAACAACATCAATTGGAGCAACGAGACCCACACGTACTGGAGCTCCAACCTGAAGATCAATTTAAAAGCACATCATGTAAGCAAAAACAGGGGCTAATGTAAACTATCCATATTTATCGTACATATTATGATCGTAATTTAATACTATGATTCTGATTATAAATAAGCATAAAATTTTTAAAAAACAAAAATAGAAAGAACATAATCATGCATCATGGAGGGGGAAACCGAACAAACCCTAATCTAAAAGTGATAACAACATGGTAATCAATGATCGGTTACCAAATTAAAACAACTTATAATCATGAGATTAATTAATTAATTAATTAAAACAACTCTATGTATGCATATACCTTGTATTTCCCAAGTTCTTCACGAACTTCATTCAAATCACCCTTGGTAAAGATGAACCCCACATTACCCTGATCGAAACCAACTTCAGCAAAGCACAAAAAAAAGGCCAGGGATCAAAAAAGTTTCTAAAAAAGGAAAAAAGAAAGGATTACAGCGAGCAAAGGAATGAGGTTCTTGATAGCATCGTTGCAGGTGTTCTCAGCGTGAATCCTAATGGACCTTTTCATCATAGTATTCTTGCCCATGAGAATAACGGAATCACCCCTAAATCCTTTCCTGATGTTCTGCATTTGTTTGGATCCCACGTTATCGGCGGCCACCACCAGTACCTGGGAGTACTCATCGAGGAGACGACAGAGTTTCTGATCGTATTACGCTTTCTTTTCCCTCTACATTGGATTCAACACCATTTTCGCTTGCTTTCAACAACAACAAAATCAACCAAAACAGAAAATGAAAACCCTTGTAGCAGGAGGAGCATGCATGATAGATATGATTTCTTTTTCCTTTTCTTAAAAAAATAGCTTGGTCACCAAAATAAAACTAAAACGATTGATATGATTTTTTTTTAAAAAATAGCTTGGTGACCAAAATGGAACATAAGTAATAGTTGAGATGCCAAATGTGTAATTTACCCTAACTATTATTAATTAAGTAAAAATCAATAATCTAACTAGTTCAACAAAGAATCCGGTTCTTAAAACATTGCAAACTCACCGATTCGTAATTGTACTACCCTTATCTATAACTCCTTTATCTATTTTCTGGTGTCACAGAGAAGCCTCGAAAAGCCATTTTGTTTAGTCTTAAACATAACCAAAGGTTAACTTTTCTCAATGATTGGTTTCCATCTTCTTGGTTTTCTGCTTTGATTATTGAATGACCCCAAATTTCTTGGGCAAATTATTATGAAGATTGTAATGCTGATGATGCAACTTTAATATATAACTGGATAACACTCTATTGAGTAAACGTTGGAGTAAGTATTCTAGAATGATGTTCTAGAATGAATCTAAAATGCTGATGCAATCTGATGTATGTGTGTGTAGAAGTATAAGGCAGTTAGTTTGTTATCATTCTGTTAGACGTTCTGTTTCATCAGTTTTCCAGCTAAGGTGACTGGTTATCATGTATATAAGTCATATCCTTATCAATAAAGAATAGAGAAGCATTCTTAAACTTTTCAGAGTTTGTTACACAATCTAACATGGTATCATTCGCCTTTTGATCCTGGATATTGCTCTCCTCATGGGTGATTGTAGCAGTGTTGCGTTCGACTTCAGGGAAGCTGCTCGTAGCAGCAAGATCTTCACACACAAGAAGATTAACATTCTGCTTGATGAAGTGAACTTCTTACTGTGGAAACAACAAGTATTGCTCACCGTTCGCAGTCACAGGTTGGAGAGGCTGCTTAACGGAGAAGTCCTACCACCACCAGCTCATATTGTTAATGAATCAGGTGCTCGCATTGTGAATGAAGATTATGAAAGTTTTGTTGCTCAGGACAGTGCTCTTGCGTCCTGGTTACTGTCAACGATCAGTGATCCCTTGCTGCCTCAATTTGTAGGTGCTGAAACAGCAGCCGATGTGTGGCGAACGGTTCAGAAATTTTTCGCCAATCGTTCGACTACGAGTGTGATGAGTCTGCACTGTAAACTCAGATCCATAAAGAAGGGTGATGATAGCATGAGATGCTATCTTACAAAGATTAAAGAAGTATGCGACGCACTTGCAACGTGTGGGAGTGCGATCTCGGAACTTGAACAGATTGCTACCATTCTCAATGGTCTCTCGGTTGAATATCAACCATTTGTTGCTGTAATCACTGCAAGCAAAGATGTGTTCTCAGTTGATAGTGTGAAAACAGTCCTGATGGATGCTGAATCGCAATTAAGTGGTTTTCAATTACAACAATCCATGCCTATGAGTGCAAATGTGGCTACTATAAGAACAAATACTCATGAAAGTGGAAAGCCTATAGCTTCAGCCTACAGTGGCAATGGAGCTGGCAATTACAATAGGAATAACAGACCTGCAGGACGTGGTCGTGGTCGCCCTCGGTTGCAGTGTCAGTTGTGTGGGAAGAATGGACACTCGGTTGATCGCTGCTGGCATCGCTTCGATCAGACGTTTCCAGGTGTATTGGCTGACAAAATTGAAGATACTGAGGTGAATCATGTTGTTCTAGATGAGTGCAAGTCATGCAGCAGTGGTGTACATGCTCAAGCACATACTGCTTCCACGAATTCTGGTCGATGGATTGTGGACTCAGGGGCTACTCACCACATTACTCCTGACGCCTCAAACCTCACTACTAGCTCAGATTACACTGGACCAGGTAAGGTAGTTGTTGGTAATGGGCATAGTTTGAATATAGCTCGGACTGGTTCCTCGGCTATGGCCACCGATTCTCGTGTTCTGGTTCTTACTGACTTATTGCATGTTCCCTCAGTTACTAAAAATCTTCTTTCTGTGTCAAAGTTTGCTAGAGATAACAAGGTGTTCTTTGAATTTCATGCGCGGACGTGTTTGGTTAAGGATGAGGTGACCAAAGCAGTGTTGCTAGAGGGACAAGAACGTGCAGGCCTCTATCAGTTTGCAACAAGTAAAGAATGCTTTGAAGCTTGTCAAGTCACGATGGTAGACGACTCCAATAGTAGTAATAAAAAATATAGTTTGTGGCACAAGAGGCTTGGGCATCCTGCTCATTGCGTTCTTGTGCAAGCTTGTAAACAAATTGGTGTAAGGCTTCCTTCTAGAAATAATATGGTTGGCAATTCATTATGTGTGGCATGTCGGTTGGGTAAGAGTCATAAACTACCATTCAATCGATCCCAAACTGTGTATGCTACGCCGTTTCAACTAGTTTTCAGTGATGTATGGGGTCCAGCACACATAGCCTCCAATGGATATAGGTATTATGTCTCATTCGTTGATGCGTGTACGAGACACAATTGGGTTTACCTGCTCAAAACCAAGGACCAAGTTCTGCCAACCTTTCAATTGTTCTTCAGTCTGATACAAAATCAGTTCAACACAACAGTAAAAGAAGTCCAAAGTGATTGGGGAGGCGAGTACAGGTCAGTCTCGAATTGGCTCAAGATGTTAGGTGTAGTACATCGCCTAGCATGTCCACATACGTCCGAACAGAACGGTTTAGTTGAACGAAGACACAGACACATAATCGAGTCAGCCTTAGTTCTCATGGCTCAAGCATCCTTACCGTTTAAGTTCTGGTCTTATGCTGTATGTGCTGCTGTGCATCTTATCAATCGGCTGCCTACAAGTGTCCTTCAAGAAAAATCTCCATACGAGGTGTTGTATTCTAAGAAACCAGATTATAGTTATCTTAGAGTCTTTGGGTGTCGTTGCTTTCCTCATTTACGACCATACAATGCTCACAAACTCAGCTATCGATCCTCACAGTGCGTGTTCTTAGGATACATCACTCAACACAAAGGCTATCAATGCATGGACTCAAATGGTCGACTATTTGTTTCACGTCATGTTGTTTTTGATGAAGAGTTTTTCCCTTTTGCTGTGACAGGCACCAAGGCTGGATGCAAGTGTGCATTGCGTAGGAGTAGTACAAAACTTCCTATAGTAGGTGGTACTCAACGTGCTCGCATGGGAAGAGAACCACACGATGTTAACCCTGTTGTCAGTTCTGATAAGTCAGGGTCAAATTCATCAGATAATATGAGCCAACCTGAAGATGCTGAGTAGTCTATGGGCTCAGGAGATGGTGCTGTGAATGAAGTCGAGCACCAAGATGAAAATGTGACTATACAGCAAAGTCCAAGGGTGGCAGTTGGTTCCTCCTCGAATAGGTTTGATGAAGGGTCAAGCAACAGTGATCCAAGCAATAGCGATCAGCATGATACGCCACCACCAGTGACAGGCCATCACATGATAACTCGCAGCAAAAGTGGAGTGTACAAACCTAAGTTGTACTCCTCAACCCTCAATGGTGAATCTGATTTTCAGAATAGCAATGGCCTGGATGAGGTTGAACCTCGAAATGTTCATGAAGCCTTCAAGAATCCGTTGTGGAAGGCTGCTGTTCTTGCTGAATATGAAGCACTTCAGAAGAACGATACATGGTTGCTTGTACCTCATCCAGAAGGGAAGTCTGTTGTAGGCTGCAGGTGGCTGTTTCGAGTCAAGCACAATGCTGATGGTTCAGTACAAAAGTATAAAGCTAGACTCGTGGCCAAAGGGTTCTCGCAGGTACCTGGCCAGGATTTCCAAGAAACATTTAGCCCGGTTGTAAAGATGACAACCGTAAATGTTGTGTTGACAATTGCTGCTCGTAATGGCTGGGTTTTGAGGCAAGTAGATGTTAATAACGCCTTTTTAAATGGTGAGCTACATGAAGAGGTGTTCATGGAACAACCTCAAGGCTTTGAACAACAGGCTGTTGATGGAACGAGGCTGGTCTGCAAATTACAGAAAGCGTTGTATGGGTTAAGACAAGCACCAAGAAGTTGGTTCTCCAAGCTGAAAAATTTTCTGGTTGATTTGGGTTTTCAAAGTTCTCGTGCAGACAATTCCTTGTTCATCAAACATAACAATAGTGTTAGCACGTATGTCTTAGCCTATGTTGATGATATCATTATTACAGGAAAAAACAATGAAGACGTTGAACGGGTTGTGAAGTTGCTAGGAGAAAAGTTCTCACTCAAAGACTTGGGCATACTTAATTTCTTTCTTGGAGTTGAAGTTAAGAGCATAGATGGTGCAATCTTTCTCAGCCAAAAGAAGTATATAATGGAATTATTAGATAAGTTAGGAATGAGCAAGGCCACAGCAACTTCAACTCCTATGGTTGCATCGATTAAACTGTCGAGCAACGGTGCAGGCGGTTTATTAGAAAACGCAAAGGAATATCGCAGTTTGGTTGGGTCCTTGTTATATGCCTGTCATACAAGGCCAGACATAGCTTATTGTGTGAATAAGCTAGCACAATTCATGCACGCACCGTGCGAACAACACCTTGTGGCAGTCAAACGTGTGCTGAGATACCTTAAGGGGACACTTGATTATGGTTTGGTTTTTCTTCCAAGGACAGATCCGTTCCAGCTAGTGGCCTTTGCTGATGCTGATTGGGGAAGCAGTGTCGATGATAGAAGGTCCATATCAGGTACTTGTGTCTTCCTTGGTGGTAGCATGGTTCAATGGAGTTCAAAGAAACAGAAGATTGTTTCAAGATCCACTACAGAGGCTGAGTACAGGAGTCTAGCCGATGCCACTTCTGATATCATTTGGCTTGAAGCTTTGTTGTGTGATATGGAGGTTCAAATTCAGGCTGCATCAGTAGTGTGGAATGACAACACCAGTGCAATTGCAATGAGTGCAAATCCAGTTTACCATTCTAGAACAAAGCACGTGGAGCTAGATGTTCACTTTGTGAGGGAACGAGTTGCTGCAGGAAAGCTTCAAGTGAATTTTGTTCCTTCTGAACATCAAGTGGCAGACGGACTTACTAAGGCGCTAACGAAAGATAGCTTTGTTCAGTTTAGACAGAGGCTTGGTGTGCATTCGTTTGCAGAAGTCGAGAAGAGAAAGAGTAGGGGGAATATTGAGTAAACGTTGGAGTAAGTATTCTAGAATGATGTTCTAGAATGAATCTAAAATGCTGATGCAATCTGATGTATGTGTGTGTAGAAGTATAAGGCAGTTAGTTTGTTATCATTCTGTTAGACGTTCTGTTTCATCAGTTTTCCAGCTAAGGTGACTGGTTATCATGTATATAAGTCATATCCTTATCAATAAAGAATAGATAAGCATTCTTAAACTTTTCAGAGTTTGTTACACAATCTAACACACTCTACCTTGAATCACTTTAAGGATGCTGTTTTAAGGTTTTGAGCAACATAACTAAACACACACATATTATATAAGGAAGATCAAAATCAGTTGTAATATCAAGAACTATTCCTGCAACTCGGGTTTCATCCGAGCTCGATTTCATTGAAAACGAAAGCCGATTTCGTAGGATCTAATCAGGTTGCGAAGCTGCAAGAGATTCGATGTGTGCATCCATGGAAGCATTTGGAAACCAATTCAGAGAAAGTATAGGACCCTTCCTAGAAATTGCGTTATCACATCATATGCTGCTAATTAACTCACCAAGACAAGGACCTGGAAACCTCAGCAAACCAACCTGGTCGGTCCAGATCTTATTATGATTATAGTATTATTTATAACACTTCAAGTGGACAACTACTATTTCTATTTGTTTGTTGGCATCCACAGCTGGTGCTATCTTCCATCTAATTTCACTTGGTTCATGCCATCTTAATTTCCTATTCATTTTTTGATGAAAGAAATCTGAGCTCATCGAATTTAAATCATTCTGTATAAAGGGTGAAGGGATTGGCATTTAGAAGCAGATTTGTTTTTGTACCGTTGTCGATATACATCGATATTTCATCCTTAGACAAAATATTTTTTCGTGGTTCACTTCTAAAGTTTGTTTACACATATCAACGGAATCTGTCATGGTATCAGAGTCGGCACGATCGGTCGGAAATTATCTCCAATAGCATCCGAGAAGACTAAAGCCAAGTAGATTTCAAGAAATACACGTTTGTTCAAGAATCATGCACTAGAAACCAGAGTATTAGGTTGCCAACAGCTTTAGCAAAGCCATTTACCGACAAGATTATCACAATACGGTTAGATGATTCTATCTATCTACTATGGAGACAGCAGGTTCTCTTTGATATAGAGGGGGGGGGGGGAGTAAGGATTCTTAATGAAAAAAAAATGTTACAAGCAGCAAGACGGTGCCCTTGCATATAAACTCGACCTGCAGATTATGAACCTGTTGTGGCAGTTATAGCAGCCACATAAACTTGATCGGGTGGGCAGAGTTGTAACCAATATGTCAGCAAAGCTCTACTGCTCCTTTTGGACTCGGGTTCAACAATGCAAGCCCTACTGTTTCAGGATCTGTTAGCAAGGTGAGCCAGTTCAAGCATATAGCTTTGGAATTTAAGATATCATTAGGGAACTTTGAATCATGGTTTGTTCTTCAAAGTCTCGGTTGACTCACCCATCTTAGTTGGGTATTCAGATTTAGACTGGGAGTCAAATGTCGTTGACCGGAGATCGACTCGTAGAAGTTGCAGCTAATCCAGTTCACCACGCAAAAATGGAACATGTTGAACTGGACTTGTGTTTTGTTGGGAGAAAGGCCATGAATGGATGGCTCTGTTTAGGTTAATTATGTACCTGTCATTTATCAGGACAGAGATTAAGAGCATTATCAACACATAAAGTCAAGACACTTGAAAACTAAAGATAGCAGAAGAAATGTGAATGTGGTTTAATATCACGAGGGACAGTGAAGGGAGTATATTAGGTAACTATTGACATCCGGCAATTGTTACCTAATAAAAGTTAATTATGTTGTATTAAATTTTTTAAATAGAATTAGAGATTCAAATCCTGATATTATGAAACAAGATAATAGATTTATACAATGCTCGATCTTAATTACTTAATCAATAAATTGAAATGGTTATAAAAAATATATATTAAATTAAATTCAACAATAAAAATAAATTTAAGTATAAAAATATGTACTTCCCTTTCGCAATTAACACCAACTCATTGACCTATACATACATGCACTTATCTCTTGTGTTTTTCCACCCTGATATGAATTCCACACTTTTAAATCATAAATTCATTACCACAATTTTTTTAATCAAAAACGTTTTTGTTTGTTCAACCGCTAACACCGTCATTGCCACGTGAGTTAGGAATCCAAACCATTCATTTATTGTCGTCTACGCCAAAAATCATATTTCTCTCTCCTATGGTACCGTGAAGGCTCACGACACTGTTGTTTCTTTCTTCAACAAAACAAAGGTGAAGTGTTCTCAACTTGTTCTTCTTTTCTAATTCTTGGTTCTCTGTTTTAATGCTTAATGACTTTGGAATATCTTGGGGAATTTATTATGAAGATAATGATGCTGATGATGTACCTTTCATACATACATACATATTGTATATATATATATATATATTTCTGGAGATGGGTAGTTTCATCTTGGTAGTATGCTTGTGTGTTTTGCCTGATAATCATAAAGATGCTTTGTTTTCTGGGTTTGTTTATGGATTCAAATTCTGGGTTTGAACTTTTAATTAGTGTGTTAATTGTGGGGAAAAATGTTTTATAAATTCTCAAGTAATTTGTAATAATCACAAGTCTTGATGATAATTTTCAATTTCATAACGTTTGACAGATTTTCACAGCTTTCAAAGGGGAATCGTTTAGTTTTCATCAGATCCTCTCGATTGATTGCAATATTGGATTCACCCCAACATTCATCACAATTGCAGCTATGGCAACAACCAAGGTGTATGTAGTGTAAGTGTTGATCCCTCGACCCAGGTGGATTTCTTCATATTTGCTATAATTCTCTCCTATGTTTTGCCGGATAGGTATTACTCGTTATACCGTCATGTCGAGATCATGGCGAGGGAAGTGCAAAGGGGGGCTAATTCGGTTCAAGGTGTTGAGGCTACAATTTGGCAGGTAAATTATAACCAGAAGAGAAGTAGGATGCCTGGGATAAATATGTCATTCTGATCTTATTAAGTTAGACAATTGGTCTGATTCGACAGGTACCTGAGACACTATCCGATGTAATACTGCAAAAGATGAAGGTGCCGGCTAAAGCGGCTGATGTACCGGAGATTAGGCCAGAACAGCTTCTGGATGCTGATGGTTTTCTCTTTGGGTTCCCTTCTCGTTTTGGTGTGATGGCAGCTCAGTCCAAGGCTTTCTTTGATGCTACTAGTGAGCTGTGGAAACGCCAAGCACTTGCCGGCAAGCCTGCTGGTATCTTCTGGAGTACTGGTTTCCACGGAGGAGGTCAAGAACTCACTGCGTAAGTTCCTTCCGGATTCGGACTTGTAGTTCCTCCGACCTAAAATTTGGCAAATGGGTTGATTATGTTTTTTTTTACCATACTCAATGTTTGTGTTTAATATTGCATCTTTCTTCTACTGATATGCAGATTAACTGCTATAACACAGTTAGCACATCATGGTATGATATATGTGCCTCTTGGATACACTTTTGGGAGTGGCATGTTCGAGATGAGCGAGGTAAAGGGTGGATCCGCTTATGGTGCCGGCACTTACGCAGCCGATGGATCCCGTGAACCCACAGAGCTAGAGCTCCAACAGGCCTTTCACCAAGGTAAATATGTTGCTGAAATCACCAAGAAACTCAAGAACAAGACAACCTGATGGATATCAATTTCGACAGAGTCCAGAGACCAACAAAAGGACAACATTAACTCTGATGCTCACGTATCCCTGCACTATTCTATTCTTACCGTATGCTTGGATTGAAAAGAAAATGAAATAAAAAGGAACGAAAAACAAGCAAGTGAATTGAATGAAGATCCACCTTCCATTTATACTCTTCCTTTTCGTCTGTCATTTCCTCAAGTCTCACTCTCACTTCACTTTCACCATCCACTACCTTTCCAACAGTTTTCTTGATGCCATCGGCCATCACAAGTTCATCACTATCATTCCTATTGTCCATTCTCATCGGGATCACTAGCCCTTGTTCGTTCGCCGTCATGAATGCATTAAGCTGTTGTTCGACATACGTAGACCATGTTATAATCTTTACAAGCCATAATGAATGCATTAAGCTGTTGTTCGACATACATAGACCATGTTATAATTGTTATGCTTGTAACGTCCTAAACTCGACCTGTTATATAGATGAGGCTAAAGTATTATTTTTAATCACTAGAACGATCATACAATCCATTAAAATTTTCTCACAAGTAGTTATATATAAAATGATAGTGACAAATAAACTAGTAGACTGATTCATATGTACTGATTAATGATTAATGTGATTATTTCTTATCGATTTTATCATAACATTAAACTAAAGAAATTATTTCATAGACCCTTTCCATCACGTCATCAATAGTCTCAAATAATTGAAAATAGCCACGTCAATATATTTCTCCATGTCATTTATACATATGAATTTATTTTCCATATCAACTTATTCATTAATGCATATTAAAATCAAATTAAACTTAAATTTAGGATTCATTGTTAGAATCTTCATTAATTCCCTTTTCTTCTCCACCAAAACAATCTTCTTTCTCTTACTCCATTGTTTTTCTTCCCAATCGAGTTTTTAACTAAAACCATTTACAATTGAAAAATTACTTGAAATTTTGAACACATGTTACTTGGAATAGCATTTTTATACACACACGTAGGTTTTCCATACGAACCCAAATTGAGAAGCAATCTATGATGCATAGTACTCAAAATTCTTGCTAGGTCAGATTATTATTACTATTCAAATACTAAAATGTACTAAAAATGAAAAAAAAATTGAATCAATAATAAAAGAGAAATATATTTACTTGTACGTATAGAATCATCCATCACAAATCTCTATTTTCTCTCCCAATTTATTTCTTCACTAATCGAAAATAAATTTATTCTATGAATTTAAAGCAAAGGTAAAGGTTTAGAGTCATTCCTTCTTTGTGTATACCTATTTCGATACTTGTTGACGGACAGAGACTCAACATGGCTCTGTCTAGGGTAAACATGCTATGATTCACTATATGCATAGTTTCGGCTATACGGTGAAGATGTATTTGAATTGTCTTTGTTGTTGGTGCTCCATTGGGCTGCCAAACCATCAAATTCTCATCCATTATAGACTTAATCGGATCGAGTTCAATTCGAGGGAGTACATTCTTTATGTCTAACACGGAGGGCTGCTCACGAAGGGCACTAGCGATTCACTCCCACTTAATGGGATAGAACTCGGGTAGAGCTTATGACATGTAAATGCACTTTTTGACAAAAGAAAAACAATGATTCATTTTCAAAAATCTGAACAAGCCTGAAAACAATGAAATAAAATAGCAGTACAACTATTTACAAGAGTAAAAAAATTATGCATGAATTATGAAAAATTGAAAATTGAAAATAAAAGGATCGTAATTCAAGTAAATGTTCAATTTTATAAAATTCTAACCACTAGGAAAACATATAATCGTGTAAGGCCTGACTCTAAAAAATATCCCTAGTGGAGTCACCAAACTGTCATAACCATTTTTAACGAAAAATCAAATTAAAAATAATTATGACTTTATTTTGGGAAAATTTGTATTTTCGATAAATTTGAAATTTTGAGTCGTCATCAACCTTTGGGTAAGGTAGGTCGAATACCTAAAATGTCATTTAAACAATTTTAAGAAAAATTATTTTAAAGATATAAAATGGTCTGCGTATTACTAGAAATTCGTTTTAAGGGTTCGAGAGTCGGTTACGCGTGGGGAAGGATAATCACCCCCACAACGCCAAAAATTGGTACATTCGATTATATGTTGTCTAAGATGGTGGAATTTTATAAATTTGAATTCTAAATTTAAATTACGATCATTTTATTTCAACGAATTAAAAATGAGTGAATCTCTTTTTAAAATAATTGACTCAAGGAAAATGATTTAAATCACTCGAATTTATTTAAGAATGATGTTCCCTCTACTATGTGAATTAACATAAATTGAAATCCAGTTACGTTAGACGTAATTTCGTTAACCCATGATACAAGACAACATTGCCTTTAAATAATTAAAAACAAAAAAATAAATACACGATTTATAAATGCAACAACAATAAAAGATATATACAAAATATGAGTGAAATGTTCGCATGATGCAATAAATAAATAATAAAACACACAAGAAATATTTATTTGTTAAAACAGACATGTAAGAACACGTAAATGTTTAAAAAAGACACATTTATTTAAAGCGAATAAGAGATATATAATCAACTTAATATATCATAAAGTATAAATAAATATTAAATAATATTAGTTTTTTGTTTTCTATTCGAATAACCCTCATAAGGGCACCTCCATTTTTTGTAGGTATTCCATAAGTTAATCGAACATAAAAAAACCTCTATAATTATTAAAAAGGTTAAAATACATAAAAATATTTTAACTATATGATACTATAATATATATTGATATTAAACACTTTTATACCGTATAAATAAGTATTTACTACAAACATAAAAAAGGGTATGTGGGTATGTACATATAAATAATACGTAGAATATATCAAAAGCTAAAATGTGCACTAAAAACGTTGATATAAGGATTAAAGGTGTTTAAAAATAAATTATAAATATGTACACTATACCGGGTGAATTCACGAGATAATGTTCTCGATTTTTTTTTTCACGATATGGTGCACATCCCAGATTAATTGCTGGAATGGGGTGAATTATACAGTGGTCTTGGAGGTCGCCATGGCATCCGGGCGACCTTGGAGGTCGCCATGGCATCCGGGCGACCTTGGAGGTCGCCATGGCATCCGGGCGACCTTGGAGGTCACCATGGCATCCGGGCGACCTGTGTGTATTTTACAAAGGAATAGGTCGCCATGCAATCAACATGGGACGTGGGAATGCATGGGGAGGGGATGCATGGGACGTGGGAATGCATGGGGTGGGAATGCATGGGGTGGGAATGCATGGGGGAGGGGATGGTGCATTGGACGTGGGAAAACCTTCCTCTAAGTGGTTGTTGTGTAACAAGTGCATAATGTCCACTGGAACGCCCATGTATTTTATCATCAACTTGATGAATTAATTTCAAGATATAAGGTTTTCCTATTATAACAGGTTGCTCAAAAGGGTTCCCCGTTCTTCCATCAAATATTAGGTAGGTCGCCATGGAGTCTCGGCGACCAAGGTCCTGTAGCTGTAGCTGCATGCATGCGTTGCATCATAGCTCATAGCTCAGAGATTCCTGCACCCGTAGTTGTATGTGTTGCATCTATAGTTACGTTATTGCAGCGTTAATTTAGCTGTGAGCCTTTCAATGCTCAATAGTTAACGCTCAGTTGCTTTATATAAAGGATATGGGGTATAGGGTAGAAGCACAAGCAGAACCAGCACATATAAACTTTGTCGAGAGAAATAAAAGGAAGAAGAAGAAAAGAAGATAAAGGCTCAAACATAGTTGAGGTAATTTTTTTATTGTTTAATTTAGTTTATTATATGAAATTATTAGTTTGTTAGTTTCGGGTTTAGGGTAAAACTAAAATCTAGTTAATTAGTTTGTTAGTATAAATTATTAGTTTGTTAGTTTAAGTTATATTATATTAGTTTATTAGTTTAAGTTATATATTATATTATATAAAAAATTAGTTAATTAGTTTCTTAGTTTAAGTTATTAAATATAAAAAATATTAATTAATTTGTTAGTGTCTTTAAACGTATATTAGGTTGTTCGTTGAAGTTGAAGTTATATTATAAAAAAATTAATTAGTGCTTAATTAGTTTGTTATTTTAACTAAGTTATATTATAATAAAGAAATAGTTTATTAGTTTAAGGTATATTATAATATATTAGATTATATAAAATTAATTTGTGGGAGCTATTGTTGTTTAAATAAATATTTTGTTTACACATACATGACATTATTTTACAATATTTGCCCACGTACAGATTGATTCGAAGAAAGAAACAAGGCAGGAAAAGAAAGTAAAGGAAGAAGGCATAAAGACGTGAGTAATTTATTATTTTTTGTTGTCCATTTTTTGTTGTTGTGTATGTGTAAATTAGTTAGTTAGTAAGTTTATATTAGATTATATAACTAATTTGTGCGAGATAATTTCCGTTTTAAAAAATATTGTGTTTAAAAATATTTAGTGTTGTTTTAAAAATATTTTGTTTAATTTACATTGTATGTGTATATTAGTAAGAAGTAAAAATTAATTGAATGAAATAATCCGGACAACGCATTATCTCGCGAAATAATTATTTCGAGAACATTATCTCGACAGTTTTGCCTAACAAATTTATTTGATATTTTAAAAAATAAAAAATATTATCAAACTAATCATTATTATTAGTAATAATTACTAAATGATTAGTATCAAATCTAAATCATTAAATATTTATAATAAATAATTATTAGTGATTATGACTAAATCATGTTATTATTAAATCATTAAATATCAAATCATTAGATTAATAGTAATTATCAAATCATTATTAGGTTTATTAGTAAGCAATCAATCAAGTTAAATAATAACTTTTATTTGATCATTAATATAATAGTATATTATATTATATTTAATAATTTATGAAATTATCTTATCTAATTTTTTAATCTAAATTAATTTATTTTTTTATTTGTAGAGAAAATGAGCAACAACTTTTTCACGATTGTCCATTATAATGGACAGATTATGGAAAATGAGGTCAGAGTAGTTTTTCAGTCTGAAAAACCAATAAATATGATGTTCGAAAAAGACATCACATTTATAGAAATGAAGCATAAGATAGAAAGAAAAATTCGAGCTGCAGTTGATGGTTTGAGGTATAGGTTTATGATATGCTCTAACCCAGTCAGATATGCTGCAGTTCCACTTGAAGAAGATGATGATATTGGAACCATGGTTGGATTACATGAGTCAACCAATATAGCCTTTATTGAATTATTTGTTGATGTGCGTAACATATGTGATGTTCCTGGGTCATCAAGAGGTGTGGCTCAAAATCCATCTGAAATGGCTTTATATAGTCAGTTTGAGGAGCCGACATACAGGTTCCCGAACAGTTTTATGGCACTATTGGAAA